CCATTTGAGTACAAGTTGCCTTTGATACGAACAAAATATGCCAGCCTAATACCACACTGCTGCCTCCAATGCGTCTGTCAAAAGTAGGCGATCGCTAGAGAAGTTTGAAGGCACAGGAATGTATGTGGAATGGTGCTTTGTTATCGGTGCACAGCGAAGTAGAAGTGGGTACGAGGGTGGCTGCATTAGCAGCTCTCTTGCCAAACCGTCAAGGTAATAACTGGATTACGGAGTACTGGAAAGGCTCACGCAGTGGCTGGTTTAATTCACTCTACTGCATCAGCTCTTGTTGCAGTATTGTCTTATGCTACCTGTGCTGCTTTGACTACTCCCAAGCATGGTCGTCCCTTCGTATGCACACTTCCTGGACACTTCTTCCATTTATGCTGACACATCTGCTGATAGTGCAGATGGCTGATCGGGTAGCAATAAAGTCGCAATAATATGCAAAGGCAGAATTAAATCACAGTGGAACTTCAAGGGTTCCCGAAGTGTTTGGTCTACTGCTTCACAAGTCCATAGCATCATGTAATTGCGAGGCTATCCATTGGGGGAGTGCCATGATGGAAGGAATACGGAGGTTGAGGACGACGATGGGAGCGCCCATGAGCCCCTAGTCTCTTCTCTTCCTTCCCTCCTCCCTTGCTTCTTGCTATCCTGTGGTGAAAAGAACATTGACTCCCCACTGGAAGCTTTTACGGCTCGCGTATTCGATGTGGGTGCAGATGAGGATGCAGTTAGAGGCGCGGACCGGTTGCTCCATCACTCATGTCAATTGTGACATCACGTTGGGCTGGAAATCTGCTTCTTAAATCATGCTAATCAGTGATGGCGCGTAAGAGTGGAGGATCCTTTCTCCCTCCTTCCTGCAATGCCTCCACGTTTGGAGGAGTGGTGAGCAGAATCACATCACATCACAGATTCGAAGCATTTCTGATCAACTCGTTCCTCTGCTGCTGCAACTCCTCCCACTGTCGCATAGCAAATCCGATGAGGAGCTTCTGCAGCATTGTGTCCGAGTCGACACTCATCGAGTGGACTGGCTCGTGTCACAGGAGGTTAATTGAAGCAAGGTAGGAAAGCAATGCGGATTGCAGAAGGGTGTTGCGTCATACCGTACCCCCCCCCCCCGATAGATTGATTCATATCTTTGCTTGATAATGGATGCACATAAACAATCGGAAGTTACTTCACGTTATTCCACCAGAAAACTGCACAAATGATTTAGTCACTTGATAACGCAATAAGTTACTTTCTCCCCCTCCCCTCCTCCTGCCTTTTCCCCCGTTCCTATCCCATCCCCTCCCCGAAGGTGTTATGACGCACTGACCGATGAGTAGCTCTATTTCCGAATTCACAGATGCATAAGCGGAATCGTCGTGAACATTGGGTATAATTGCCTTTTGATGCCATCCAACTGCGCGTCCATGTCGTCTCCAACTTGCTTCAATGCCACAAGGTAGTACGTCCTCGGACCGCGTCCAATTTGGGCACATCGTCGTTCTCGGCTATGCGTGAGTCTGGATCGCTCAATGCTGATCTCACCGCACTATTGAGTGAGCAGAGAGTGATTGGATTTCGAGTCAAGGCAAGTCGAGTCTTCGCAGACTGATGCCTTTCCTTCATCTCACTTTTAAGCTTTGGTCAATTTTTTTCATCTGAATGGGAGTCTTTTTTGAAGGCGAGGAAGAAGAAGAAGTGGAGAAAGGGCTGTTGGCTATGTCATCTCATGGTGCTGCCCCCATGTTAGCCCCCATCCTCCGTGCAAGATTATAAATGCATGGAAGGGAAGAGGTGGGAAACATCACACCTTGAAACGGTTTCAATCCATGCACCGAATTCGTGGAACCAAACGAATGCAAAATGAGAAGTTCATTTCACACCATCTGTCCGCCCTTCCAGATGAACTGGTCACGCATGTCTGTCAACTGCCTACAAGTCAATCAGTCAGTAGGTCTCCAAGTCCTGACTGTGATCACCAACTACGGTTTGACCTTGTTGGTTAGCTGTGCAAGTAACAACAGCGACAACAATAATAACAACAAGGAGCTCAAAGTAGAGGTTATCAAACAATCTCCAGATCATATGACCTCGCTTGTGTGGTGCCATGCTTACACCCATTGTTCCCGCTCAATTCAATTCACGCGTGGATTTACGTTGTAACGTAAGTGGAGGGTGAAAGCGCCGTTTGAACCTCCTCACAAAACCGATCTCTTCAACTTTGTCCCCATAATATCGCTTAACTCTCCACTTCCATCCATTAACGCACTTTTTGGCCTTTGAATAATATCTACCTTTATTGTCAGACCTTTTTCGAATCCAACTATGCTAAACGTTTACGGGAGCCATTTTAAAAGGTAATAATGAGGGTAGAAAGGGTGACCATAATTGCCCAGGCCCTGAGATTGGTCTAATTAGAGAGGGATTTGCTGTGCCCAATTCATTTGCTTCTCCTCTCTGGCCGAGAGGCTAGCAGCTGCGCTTCGTGTCCACGTGACGTCAGTACGGAGGCTGTCTTACTCTCTTCCCCTTTCATGACCGCAAATGAGGGAAATAACGCGTTCGGTACCGGGTTCCGTCCTCGGGGTATATCGACCACCAATAGGGTCAACCGTTTTATGGTTATGCTGGGGGCCGGTTGAACTATCGTTCAAATCTTAAAACAAGGTCATTGCTCTTAGTCGAAGAGCTATTTTACATCTGACTGATCGTTTTCCACTCGGTCAAGCTGTTAGCAATACGATTTTCTGCGGCGTCACACATATGTGACAAATCGATTTGTCACGTATATGTGACGATGGTAGCGAGAGTGTTAAGACAATGTCAACTTTGTATCATGTTAAGTAAATTATCGCCCTTAAACGAAAAACGTTATTTTCAACTTAGCCGGTGTTAAGATGGTGCCAATTTCGTAGCCGGTTAAACAAGTGTTCACAATCTACTTGTCTTTGTTTGCGTTTTTTCGGAGTTTAATAACAAATGTGACTCCACGAAAACGTGAAAGGCACTAATTGTCGGTGTGGTGTTTAAACAACATCGCTGCGTGACTCCCCCCCCCCCCCGGCCATTTCAGTAAGAGAAAAGTTTATTTTATAAATAAAAATGAACCAGTCTGTTGGCTTTATCTGTTTTTGGAAATTGAGCGTGCTTGACACTCCGTTTTCCTTCTCCCTGTCCAAAGTTAGGAACTACTTGAGGGGATTTAAGGCTGGGAAAGTTATTCATGCCTTGGATGGTGGTATCCATGTGCCCTTGTTTTTCCGGTGGGGGTAGCAACCTTTGCAACAAGTGAAGTCATTGTGAGAGCCTTTCTTATGAGCTCAGTCCGATTAAATCAAGAAGGACGTCACCCCAGACTTTGTTATTGTCGCTGCGTTGGGCTTATACTGTTGGAAATAACCTTCTTTTCTTAAGGAAAAGGGTTCAACATATCTTCTCTTTATCTGACTAATCTGCCCTAGGTGAATTGTAAGATTACAAGTGGCAATCAAAAAAGCGGAACCTGTGGTGCACCCCTTTGGACATGGACGCCATGAAGTGTGAATTGCACAGTGCGCCGAACGCTCATTATGAACTACTCAATTTCCTCTTTGATTATGTGCAGCAGGTAATTGTTTGCTTATTCTGGTGCTTCACTTTGTCACACAGACAAAACTCACTGTGTCAGCAGAGAAGGTGGATGTTCGCCGTGGTCTCATTATGCAAAAAAAAATTAATTCACCCTTTAGTATATCATAGCAAAGTGGGAGGGCAATTGATGATCTAGGCTAGCTCAAGGTCATCTGCAACGTTGTAAGAAGAGGTGAGGTGAAAAACAGCCCATAGGCTAGCCCGCAAGGCCTTCAGATTTGTTTTACCGCATTTCAGTCGATAGTCCGAAGTTCAGCTGGGCCAAATAAAGCCTTTCACTTCGCCGCCAAATCATTCATACCTCTCATGTTGCCTTGCTACACTACAATTCAGTGCTGTGAAGTGTAAAAATCAACTTTCCGTTGGCTGCATCTGATGGATGACCTTAAGCTCTGCAGTGTGTTGGCAGCAGCAGTTGCTAGGCTTGTGCACAGTGCCACCACCTGATTGGTTGGTGGATGACCAATCAGCGCCGTCGCCTATTTTTTACGGTTACTGCTAGCCGCCTTGCAGAGGGAGAGCGCGACTGACAAGCCCCTACAGTTTGTGCGAATCTAGTCCCAACAAGTAGATGGACTGCCTGGCAATGGTAATTGTGTTTTGCGGTGTGTTCGCCTGTTTGCTTTTTACAAACAAAAAGCGGTTTTCCTTTTTTCCCCTAAAAAACTTCTGCAAAGGGTGTGACAGGGCGTCTCAATTTCCAAGTGTTATTTTAGCTGAGTTCTCTTTTGCTACCTGGTCTTCACATTTTTGTAGCTAAAGCATAAAAATAAATGCATTAAGGGTAACCTTACCAAAATTAGATTGTGAAATTGAATTTGCAGAGTGTTAACCTTCCTTAATTTGGCAAGTGTGTCTTTGCAGCAGAATTCCTCACTGGGTTGGCGTCAAGTGCACAAATATGCGGCATCAGTTTAGCGTGAAGTTGTTTTATACACTTTTAGGTAAAGTTTATCAAAGATTGAGACAAGTAACATAGAGCGTGACTTTTCCGGGTTAGATGTGGGTTTCAGTGCTAGGCATAAAATTACGAGAGTGTCCTGACCATCACGGCACAGTCACAATTTTTCACCGCGACAGTTTAAACCCGGATATTGAAGGCCATTGTTGGGTCCGTGGGCCGCCAAAATTCTTCTCCGGGGGTGTCATGCGTCCTGGAAACGCCTTTGAACTCCTCTGAGAGGGCGCCACGATATTAAAGCTACTTGAAAACCCCAGTGACCTTTCTGAAAGTCTTATCAGTTTAGCCGGAGGTGGACGCCAACTTCAGTGTTGACGTATTGAACCTTATTTTTAAGTAGATAATATGTTTGAGCCAGAATCAAAAGGGTTCTACTACCTCTTCCCTTGTTAGGATATCACTTATGTTTGGATCTCCTTCCTTCTTCCAGCAAAACACTTATTTTTGTAAGTAGTATAATCAACTTAAGTTTCGAAAATGAAATTCCCCTTTTCACATTCTATTGAAGGTTTCACAAAGCAGTTTGCCCCATTTATGCTTAATTTTGAGGTGGGGTCAACTGGTTATTCCCTTTCTTCATCCTTTTCCAGGTGAAGTACGCGCATTCGCCTGACTGAACCATCTCTGGCGGTATGCGCTGAGGCTCACCTCCCTGCGTTAGTCATTGGTCCACCAACGGAATGACTCATCCAGGGTCTCTTGTGACTGTACCCACTCATTCACAGTGTGATGCCACACACCGTCACCCCGCCTATCCTCCCCTATGGCTAAATTTCGGGGACAGGCTTTAAATCGACGACATGTGGTGGTTCCTCTTCTCCTATCCCATGGTTTGGCCTCTTTATTGGCTTCCAGGGTCCCTCCACATGCCACCATCCAGGCTGCTTGTCAGTGGAGAATCTGCGAGCCCTTTTTGTGTGTCTCGAGGCGCACTTGATGGTGGTGATTCCACGATAGAAATTTTTCCATAAATACAATATTCCGTAATCCAAAACCGAAATCAATAGAAAACATCCAGAAACGGAAGCATTACTAGATCTTAACCTTTGATCAATTTTATTGGAGGAAATTAAATAATTACACGGTTACCATGGTGACAACGTGCACAGCTTGGCTTAAACAACGATGACACCGGGGGGAGCAAACTCCAAGGCAAAAAAGGCGATGAGAGTAAAGCATTCACATGAGAATCTGTTACTGTGATGTGATCCTTACCAAAGTTCCCTTCCCTATTTAAGAATAATTTTATGCGTGGGAGAAAAGGCAGCGAAACCTATGCTCGTGACACCCAGCAAAACGCCCTGCCTTTTATTTGGTACCGAAAACAGGCAGGCAGATTAATCGACAAGGCCGCAGGCGGTGAATTGCACACATGCACGCACACATTTGTATGCGTTCACCCAGTTACTACACGCAGCGCGACAACAACAACGAAGACGACTAGGCACGGCCTGGCGCTGACCTTACCTCCGCCCCACTCTCATTGGTTCGTGCCTCAGGCCTTCACATGATCTTCTGATTGGTTGGTATTCTGGTGTTATAGCGGCAATCTGATTGGCCCATTCGGTCTGCGCCTTGTTCAACCTCCGTTTGCATATGCTTATCGCGCGTGATGTGGTTGTTTCTTCCTCTCTCTCCACTCTTGTAAATACGCAAATGTCCGATGCTTATTAGCTCTCAAAATGAGCGCTTTGTAAAAGTTGACGGATGCCAGATTTGTTAGTTTGCCTCGTTGAGGCTCTCGGTGATGAAGTCGTTCACCCATTCAGTATTTCATCTGAGTAGGTTTTAAGCTCGGGTATTTTATGGCTGCAAATACTGCGTCATATTCACACTCTGTTCAGGAAATGGTTGCCTTGGTGGTTTAGTAATCTAGTCAGTTTTGAGAGTGAAGAGCCTTGCTGTGTCGACGACCGCGATGGTGCTTTAATTCCGAAACCCGGATTCACTGCTTTCCCGCATTTTTGTTGTATCTGCGTGGGTATGCAATTTCCTTAGTACTTATACACAAAGGGACGTTTAGACAGATTTTCTTCTTACTTATGCCAAATTTAAGGCTACTCCAATGTGAAATATGAGTGGGTCTTCGCTTCGGCGAGATTTACACACTCAAAGTGTTATTGCCGTCTTCGTGACTACCCTACGCATCACTCAAAGAGTAATTCTGAGGTAGAGATCAATGCAGTGTATGGGGCCCGCGCTGATGGGCCTATAGCACCCAACCAGAACGCGGAACGTTAAAGACAGTCGGACATTCATTGTTCACCAAGCTAGCCCCCATCTTGCCCCACCTATTAATAATTTATTTAACAGTTAAATCCTAGTGTGTACCCGATCCAACACCGGAAAGGGAAATGCACGATTTTGGTAACTCCAACCAAGCCACGAAAACAGTTTTTCACACTCCAGCGTTCCGTAGATTGTACCACTGCGGCTAGCCAATCACTGATTCGAACACAGACAGACATTCACCCATATGCCTGTTGATTGGTCAACATTCATTGTTGAGGGCATGGGCCAATCAACGTCGCAATTTGGGCCATGAAGCAGTTTTGCCACCTCGCTGGAGGGAGCTGCCGTTCTACTGTGTGTGTATGTGCTTTCAGTGACGAGAGTTCATTCAGTAAGTTGGCTGTAAAATCAATAGTATCGATTTTTCTCTCAGTAGTGCGACGGTAGTACTGCTATAAGCGCCACTAAAGGCGGACTTGTCGTCGAATTGCCGGTTTTTTACCTTTTTGATTATTTATTCGGTTTAAAAATGGAGGAAAGGAAAAATAAGTCCTTTTTCGTCAACGGCTAATGCTCCTTTTAAAATAAGTCTTCTCCGTATTTGTTCGTGTGGTGAGATTAATCACGTGACCGCGAATGCACCCTAATTATGCTCTTTTTCCAATATATATGTCTATTTTTCGCCTTCTTTCTGGCAACCTTGAAGAGAGTTAACAGGATTGCATGTGGTGGTCACTTTCAGTCCCAGGAACTATTCCCAAGGCCTGCTGGGGTTTAGCCCTAACTCAGTGAAGGTGTGCGTGAAAAATTAAGGGGAATAGCTTCACTAATAATTGCTAACGCGCCCAGTAATTAATTTTACGCTTTTAGTTGAAAAAGAAATATCAGGTTAGGAGGGAATTTTTTGTTTAAGTGATGAGGAAGTTCTGCGTGCTGAGTCACTGCTAGTTTACCAATCTGGTTTTTGAAAGCAGCACTTTTCCCCCGTCGACGGGAGTAATCAAACCTTGAAGTTAATTTTCTCCTGGATTTGGAAAAAATATTCATTTCTATGAAGTTAAACCATTGGCTTCACATTTTGATATAGTCCCGACAAATTTACCGTACTTTTTTGGCTTTTTTTGTAGAAACTTGTTGGTGCAAAGACTTTTTCGCTTGGATTCCTACACAACCGCATAAAGGCAAGGCGAATGGGGAAAAACGTTCACAAATTTCCTTTAGGACCAGTAAAAGCGGAAAGAGGGGGTGTATACATGGGGCGTATCTTGGTGTGTCCCGCGGCAACCTGCGCCTGTCAAGTTTAATTTAATGGTTGTCATTTCAATGCGGGGTGAAAGGTCCATATCTCTTAAGCGCCAGTTGCCTGGACCTTGCAGGAGTGTCCATACGTGGAGTCGAGTGGTCCAGAAGTAGTCAAACAGCAGCTACCACTCTGAAAGCGATTTACAAAAAGAGCGTCAGTGTTAGATTAATTCAAAAGACCCTCAAGTTCAGTCAGATGGCTCCCAGATGCCTGTTCAAGTAACTAACAGTGAAAGAATACCTTAAGCACCCGGACCTGTGCCTCGGATACTTAATCCGTAAGTAAGGCGTGAAAAGGGTGTAAAAAGGGAGCAAAACTTTTTGAACTAGACAGGATTACAAAAGACCAGCGGTTCACTTAAAGCCGATGTCGAAAACCCACCGAGTGCTTGTCGTAGAAGATGAGCGCACAATAGGGTCACTGACTTCCAGGTAGCCAGAAGTGGTCGACCTGGATCTGAGCGTAGCCGTTGAAGAGAAGGCCTTTCAAGATAAAGTGTCGCGAAAAGTGATAATGAAAATCCAGTTTTCAAGTCCCGCGCCAAAAAGAACGCCTCCAGCTAGGGCGCGACGCCTGTGGATAAACATTCACCTAATGGATGGGCGGGAAGTTGGTACAAGTTCGTGATCAACTACATAGAGCATTCTAGAAGGTAATGGCAGGTTCTTCCGACTAACTGCTAATTACCTTCTTGGCGCGCTTTCAAGGTATAAAATCGCCCGCTAGGTAGGCGGGTCGCACCCTCCAAGAATTTGCGTACCAACCCCGCTCGGCCTCACCAATTGTTACGCTCTAGTGCGTTGTACTTTCTCCGCGGATCGTGGGAAGAAATACCCTTTTAAAACTGGCATAAGTTTTATCAAAAGCTTTAAAGGAAAGGCATTTAAGTGGCAATGAATCGAACATTTTTTTATAAAAATAAGAATACGATATTTCGAGGATAATTTGCACAAAACTGCGGCTTAAAAATACAGGAGGTTTAGAGGCTGAACTCGCATAATCACGGTGACATGGATAGATCATTTGACAAGCAGCCAGAGATAAAATTGGTGGTGATAGCGACTTTGTGAGCAGGCTCTGAAGGAACTTTCACCCTTCATTCACAACGCAGTGTAAACCCGCGCGTAAATTGATTTGAGGAGGTGATATGTGTGATCATGGCACACAATTGTGGTTACATGATTTGAAGGTCATTTAATAACCCCTGTTATCGTCGCTGTTCTTGTTATTGCTTCCACGTCCAACGGCCAACTTACAATGTCCAGTTGTATCTGATTGTGGTCCGGACTGAGTGACTTGTAGGTAGTTGAAAGGCTTGCCTGACCAGTTTGTCTGGAAGGGCGGACAGATGATGTAAAGTGGACCCTTCGTTTTGTATTCGTTTGTTTCCAAGATTCCAGTGCATAGAGTTGAACCGTTTCAAAGCGTGATGTTTCCCACCTCTCCTCCATACATTCATAATCTCGCATTAAGGTTGAGGGCCACAATGGTGGTACCACGGCGAGATCTAGCCAGGATCTCTTACCAATTCCGCTCGCTGTTCCTCCTCATCTTACTCTCATTCTTCTTCCTCCTTAAGGAATGCTAACATTTAGCTGAAACAGTTGACCAGTTTTCAAAATTGGAGTGCAGGATAGGCATCTGTCTGTGGAGACTTGACGCGACGCGTCACGAGACAGGGGCACAAAGTGATTTGTAGCATCTACTCATGGCTCACTCAGCAGCACGGTGAGATCAGCATTGAGCGCTCCCGATTTATGCATAATGGAAGACAACTTGCCAAAATTGGACATGATTCGGGGATGTACCATCTCGTGGCATTGCAAGAAGCTGGGAACGATGCCGGCGTGCAGTTGGGTAGCATTAAAAGGAAATTATATTCATACTGTGTACATGCAACCTTTCAAGGCTTCTGTGAATTCAGAAATAAAACTACTTATCGACTAGTGAGTATCAAAACACCTTAGAGGGGTGCGGGGGGTGGGACAGGGGAAAGAGAAAGGGAGGAAGAGAACGGCTTATTGCCTTATCATGCAACCAAATCATTTGTGATGTTTTCCAGTGCAATGACTTGACGGAACTTCCTATTGTTCAAACGCATCCATCTGTCAGGCAAAGATGTAAATCAGGCCATGGGTAAGGCACAGTATGCCTGGGTATGGTAAAACGCGTTGAGGTGGGATGGGACACTCTAGTGTACTCCACATTGCATTCCTTCCACCTCGAACTGCGTCAAGTGTTGCTTTGATTAGCTTCATGTCACACGAGCCCGTCCACTCGATGAACGTCAGCTCGAACAGAATGCTGCATGAATGCCTCATCAGAATTGTTACGCGACACTTGGAGAAGCTACATCAGCAAAACGTGTTGACCTGAAATACATTAAAGGTGTGAAGTGATGTGATTCTGTTTATGACTCCCTCAAAAGTGGAGGCATTTCGTGAGGGGGAGGGAAGATCTTTCGCCTCTGATCAAAATAATTCGAGAGTTTAGGTGTCCAGATCAACTTGCATCTCCATCGTCATCTGCGTCTGCCCCTACACACACATCAGAATGGCAAGTGTCAGAACCTTACAGTTGAATAGGTGGCACATATCATGCAATACATGATTGATAATTAGCTTTGACTATTGTCAATCCGTTGTTGGCGTTATACTCGTTATTCTCCCTCACCTTATGCCTCCTCGTTCTCATTCACGTTATGCAAGTTCTTCGGTTCACGTACCTCTAGATTGTTTGCTGACTGATTGAGGTTGACATCCGGTGACCATGTCGTATGCGAGAAGAACAAATATGACATTGCTTATTCTCAAAAGACAATCCATTCACTGCCTCACGGGTCCTAGGCATGCACTACTGTGGTGCGCTGCAGACCCAATTCTTCGGTGCCAAACCGTTCCCACCTTGGAGCTCCCAACACATCCATGGCTAAGATCAACCCACTGGGCTAAACACGAAGGTGTGCGATAGAGCATACAGGTGTGGAAGTAAGCGGAAGTAGTTAACTAGTGCGATAAAAGGCCCTTTCACTCACATGACAATATAAAGCAACACCCCATACCTCACTTTTGCATGTCAAAGAGCTAAGCCGTGGCAAGATTTGGCCTTTGATTAGGTTGAGAGTTAGGGAGGAGGGGAGGAAAAGATGAACGATGGAATGGTGGAAGGAAAATAATTGTTAGCTCATCCACATAGTCGGCCTCATCCTCCGTAGTCACCACTTTCGTGATAATTCTCCAACAAATGACTGCCGCCTCGTCTGGGCATTTACTGTACACAACAGTTTGGTCACATGCATATGTATAGTAGCAGACCAGACAGTTGGAATATCCAAGTAGAGTTAATTAAGTCTGTTTGTAGGATCCTACCTTTGCTAGCAAACCTACCCATGCAAGTGGAACTCGCATCCAACTTGCATCTCGATAGTAAAGACTTACAGGTTGGTAGGACGAGGTGCATTCCAAACGCCAGTCAAGTTCTTCAACACCTCCACCATTTGTTTGCGTTATTTATAAACAACTTGACGAACTTAATTGAAGTGGCTACTAAAAAACCTCCCCATGACATCCAACCACGCAGCCCACCGCCATCGTCTGCCCACTCGTTATGAAAGGTGACACTGACTCGAGTGATGACACCACCCTCTGCCCCTGGTCCTGCCTTTTGTTTTCATGTGGGCAAAAACCTCATCTCGCGTCTTTCCTTTGGGCTTTTTCTAAAGTAATGTATGCTCCAAAGTGGATGAGTAGATGGGTGAGCAAGAATTCCTCCCTCCCGACAGGCACAATTCATCCAATGGGAGCAACAGCGACGACATACGAGGTGATTGACTATCGCGTTTGTTGGCGGATACGTGGACGAGACCCATTTTGTAGGGGCCACTTAGAACTGCCTGGGATAATGTTCTCTCTAGTTAGTCCGACGCGCCCTATAAAAAAACCAGCTGAGACAAAACTGCATTGGATAAGCTGCACTGCGAGTCTCTGGAATTCCCTTAAAGTACCGTGCTAATTCGATTCCTCCATCGCATATTATTGCGACTTTAGTACTCCTCTGCGCTACCACAAGATGCGCCATCATTAAGGAAGGAAGTGTCTTCGTAGCTACTGAATGTAGGCATGGTGGCCGATGGATCGCATCCCTCTCGTAGACGACCCCATTTGAGAGTAGTCGGAGGGTACATAGGTAGTGCAATGCAGTAGTTCAACAAAAGCGGATTCAGTTTGATGATTTGAGCAGGAGAATAATAGCCGAAAATGATGCACCCTGTAAAAAAACCTCAGTGCTTCTATCCAGAGTTTCACGATTCTAGAGACCAACTTTCTTTTGGACCAAAGCTAGAGCAAGCTCGTGATGGTAGACGCATACACTCACCTTGTTATTCGGAAACTTGTTAGTGGAGAGTAAAACATGGATCAGGTTCAGTGGAAATGGTGAAGCAGCTGCACGAAGACAGCTTCAAGACTGAAGGGAGGTGCGGTGATGTTCCGATGAATTAGAATAAGAGGAGGAGGAGAAGGAGGAGAGGAGGGGAGAGGAGAAAGGATAACGAATCAGCCATAAATGTTGGTAGACGATTTAGCCCTTCATGAAGTTGGGAATGCAAGAGCACCTTCTTCGCCAGTACCAATTCTGCTGGCCAATATCTGAATGACAGCATCTGGCCTCGCATCCTAATTGTCATTTCAGGTGTTGCTTTGGTTGGGTCTGGTCTGGTCCGATCTAGTCTAGTCTGGCATGGCGTGGAGTGGAGTGGGGTGGGTGATGCTGTGTGGTTAGTCAATGACCACACAACGCAATGCGATGGTGGTGAGGTCGATGACTTGCATGTGAGTTTTCGTTTGGAAAGGCTATTTCATTTGTGAAGAGCGTGACCCGAGTTGAAGGTGCTGCCAACAGCTGCAGATTGGAGTGTTCACCTCTCCAAAATGGCTTGTGAAGTGGTACAGGCACTGGATGTGTTGTGGGGCTTCTTCCTGCATACCAACGACATCACCACTGCTACCTGGAACAGAGTAGTTGCAAGGAGGTGGTTCGTTCTAATGGGAGACTGGGAGAAGTGAATAAGGTCCGAACTGAGATTAGAGGGCGTCGTGATGGGAGAGAGAGAGCGAATTACGTCCATTGGTCTGGGTCACGACAAAGGAACTTGGACATCTGGAAAGATATTGCGTGTCGTAGAATGAATGAGATGCAAGCGATTGTCAGTAATTAACTGCAAATCAGTAGCGTTTGACAAGACGGTGGGTGGACAGCGGTGAACGGTTCACAACCATCAACCCACTTGCCAAATGGCAGAATTGTCTGTGTGAGCCTGAGTGACAACAGGCGAGATAAGATGCGACAGAAGGCTGGTGCTGGGAATATGCTCAATCGGCGACAAGTTTGGCAGACGTCAGCACGGTGATGAAGGAGCGTGGTTACTGCAGGGTTGACCGAGAGGGCAACAGACGGACAGTTTAGCGTCTGTGGTGTTGCAAATGTGCCTTGGAATGGCGACATTTCAGCGAGGGGAGTGTGGGGAACAGATGGACAGTTGGTTGCATCGCAAAACGAATTGTTTGCCACACAGAAGTGGATGAAGTAGACGGTGTGTTGTGTTGTTGACGTCTCGGTCGCGTTCAGCGTCGCTGCATTTGCAGTGGTCAAAC